CCCCCCCCCCCCCCCCCCCCCCCGACCCGACCCGACCCGACCCGACCCGACCCGACCCGCCCCCGGTCGCCCGAGATCTCGTGGCCTGATGTGATTATCGTGGAGAGGAACTGGTAGAGCTGGATATCAAGGGGCAGGGCCTTTTTGACTACTGATGTCCGCGGTGGGATGACTTGGCCATGTCGGCAAATTTTATGGTGTTGGATCGGACATGGGCTGCTCGGACAATATGACTGCAATTAGCGCACAAAAGCTTCCGCTGAACGCTGTTGTGGCATGAAATTCATTCATTTCTAATCTGTCGCAGACCATTTTTATTGACTCTACGTCCGAGGAAATGAATTCGTTGTGTCTTATACCAGGAAAAAGAAAAAATAGTAATTGTAGTTATGAAAAACCCCGATGGCGTGTTCGGTGCGTATTCACATCGGCATGTGATGCCAGTCCTCTCGTACGAGGCAGCGTTAAACGTTAAACGAAAAAAGACTTGCCGTTATAGCCCAAGGTTCGTGACGAACGGAACGTCTCGCTAAAATGAAAGCGATGCCCTGTTGCGATCAATTCACCAACGTCTCAACTAAATAGCCCTCTTGAAAGTCCCGACAGAGATTGGCTCTGACGGTGTACGTTACGACTGTGTCCTTGGAGTCTACCTGCCTCTTGACGTGTGATATGCACAAGAGGTTTGCCATGTTTTTCACTCTTGGCGCATGTAGCGACTCTATCGTTATTCGATGTACGCAACAGACCCGAAAATCCAAAATGTAAGAAGATGTCGAGTCGTGGATCATTTTTTTGTTTCGTCGCCATCACATCCCTCGCGCACAGGTTACAGTGGCGGCTAGGACGGTTTAAGAGAGGGTCCTGACAAGCCAGCATTTCTCTCTTATATCCGGTTTTCTCTCAAACTGTAGACTCCTGCTGTGAAATGTATGTATGTATTGCTCGTGGTCGTGACAAGCCAGTTTGACTCTCTGAAATCGGTGTGTTCTCTTCAATAGTCTCTTCATTTGTCGCCGCTACTGCTGTGGAGTATATCGTAGGGTTGAAGTGTGGGATTCGCCTCTGAGCTAAACATGTTCTGTGTTTCTCCTCCAGCCCTGTTTTTTTTTTTCGTGAACGCTTGAGCCTCGTGGTCTTGAACGGATTTTTTTTTCTTTCCGCGTCCCCGTTCTGTACTGGGGCCTCTTCATTGGGAGTGGTGCACCAGCCAGCCGAAGGCATTTGTGGGTGCTTTGCCCATTTTGATGCGCCCCTCGCACAGCAGTATCCTCGTGAACGTTGTTTGTCCCGATTTTGTGGGTTCGATCCTTCACGGACGTGGTAAACGTGCGATTTAGACCCCCCCCCCCCCCCCCCCCCCCCCCCCCCCCCCCCCCCCCCCCCCCCCCCCCCCCCCCCCCCCCCCCCCCCCCCCCCCCCCCCCCCCCCCCCCCCC